GGACGGTGGGGATTGAGGGGGCGGTGGTGACGGGGCGGTGCGGACGGGGCGGTGGGGGCGGTGGTGACGGGGCGGTGGTGGTGGTGGCGGTGGGGACTGAGGGGGCGGTGGTGGCGGTGGGGACTGAGGGGGCGGTGGTGATGGGTGTGTCTGTGGAACTGGGTGAATGCGGTCAGTATATTGTGCACATGGAGGAATTCAGGGCCCCCTGTCCCTTATCGTGTTCTCGTCCCCAGGGTAATTGCAGCTGTATATTTGTTGCTAATGTGTAGGACCTAATTCCTGCTTCCTGTCTTCAGGTTAGGATTAGGGGGAATCTTGGGGAGGAGGCAGTGATGATTCGGGGGAATGTCATGGAGACTTATAAAAATTCTAACAGGACTGGACAGGGTAGATGCAGGGAGGATGCTCCCGATGGTGGGTGTGTCCAGAACCAGGGATCACAGTCTGAGGATTCAGGGTAGACCATTTAGGATGGAGATGAGATATTTCTTCACCCAAAGAATGATGAGCCTGTGGAATTCATTATCACAGGAAGTCGTTGATTTCAAAACATTGAATGTATTCAAGAGGTGACTAGATACAGCACTTGGGGTGAATGGGATCAAAGGTTATGGGGAGAAAGCAGGATTAGGCTATTGAGTTAGACAATCAACCATGTTTGTGAAGAATGGTAGAGCAGACTCAAAGGGCCGAATGGCCGCCTCCTGCTCCTATTTTCTGTGTTTCTATTTCGCTTGTCTGTGGGTTGAAAAGGTAGTGAGCAACTGATCTGCTTTGGTTTTTTTCGGGACAGAGAACCTCATAGGTCACCAACTTGGTGAGAGAATTAATGAGTGATGGTACTCTCATTTATCGAAGTGGAGAAAACACTTCCAAAAGAGGTTTTTGGGCGACTTTTGAAAGCCATGTATCGTATTCACTCATGCACACTATATAAAAGCATTTGTGGGATGTCTTGTGGGTCAGTGGGCAATGTCCATGCCTCTGAACCAGAGGTTCTTGTTTCAAAACGTACACCAGGTCTTAACAGCTATGGAGGGCATGTTTGTAACATGGCCAAACTGTTTGGTTATAACTTGTAAATTCACTGGTCTTGTGGGACAGTGATAGTCTGGCTATGACAGAGCCAGAATGTCTGGGCTCAAGTCCCACCTGCCCCAGACATAGCGTGTCTGAACGGGTTGATTAAATCTGCTTAAAATAAAATCAGTTTCTGGTGAGTTTAGTTGCTAGTTTAACTAGCCATGCATGTCTGAAAGTGCCTGAACTCGGAAACTAAGCAGACTCAACCTGGTCACCACGTGAATGAGAAACTGCTTGTGAATACAAGGTGTAGTTGGCTTAAAGGCCTTGTGCCACACTGCCTCTGGGCCAGAAATCCCATCTGCTCTAGGGATGTAGCATAACATGTCTGAACAGGCTATTTAAAAATATCTGTGAAAGCATTTGTAAAAGCTATCATTTTCTGCTTTAGTGTGCCATGTTGTGGAGTTAGCTGGATACAGTTCTTTTGATTGACTCAGGGTGGGGGTAGGACTGTAAAGATTGAGGAACTGAAACTCAGTGGAGCTTTCTAAGCCGTTACTACGCTCTTGTTTAGTATCAGATTGCTCAACGCTTCTTGCAAACATGTTAACGAATTCTCACAACACGCTGCTTGATATTTTGCTATTAAAGTAGATTATGAGCAGTGTACTAGTTTTTCTTCTCCAAAGCTAACATCAATTTTTGTCACTGGGTGTACAGTCGATGCTGAAAATTATTTACCCTTTTTCCAATAAAAATCTCAAGCCTGGAAAGGGTGTTGCACCTGAGCACTGGTAAACAAATCCTGAATGATTTTTATTCCCTAGGGATGTTGCAAGAAATCCATTGTATATACAGATTAAAAAAATACTGTAGGTGGTGCAAAATATTTTTTACTCAAACGGACAGAATTGAGAATTTCACATGAACACAAAAGTTTAAGTATGGGACATTCAAGACCTCAATCCTGCTCAGCCATTCAACAAGATCATGGGTGATCTGATTGTAACTTGAAATACATGTTCCCAACTACTGCTGATAACCTTTCACCCCTTTTACTTAAAAAGAATTTATCTTCTTTTGCCTAAAAAATATTTAATGATTCTGCTTCCACTGCCTTGTCAGGAAGAGTTTCAAACACTGAGAGAAAAATTCACCTTATCTTGGTTTTAAACTGACAACTCCTGAAGTTCAAACAGTGATCCCAATTCTAGGTGCTCCCATAAGTAAAGGCATCTTCTCCAATCCACCTTGTCAAGTCCACCTCAGGACCAACTTATGGTCTGACATCACCTTTTTCTCTCTCACTGTCTCTCGCTACTCCAGACCAAACCACAAACAGATTCTAAACAAGACCTCACACCTAACATGCATTGTCTAACCTAAAATGTGACATCTTATTTACATTAATAAAACCTTTAGTTGTCTCAAGGCAGTGACTTGAAAGCAATTTGGGGATTTACATATACATATTAATCAATTAAAACCTTCTAACTGATTAAAGATTTAACAGCATCTTGAGTTTGTTTAATACATCCTTATCAGTTGTGTGACCCTTTGTTCTTTTACTTCCAAATTCTGTGTCTGTCCTCATCTGACCTGCATCTCTCAGTTTTGTACCTTTTTATTCAGTTTCTGAATTTAGATATTCAATTGGAACAGGTGGGGAAAAAAGGTCGAGTGTTCTTGTGGGGCACTGTGAACAGAGGCAATACTAAGCAAACTGTTCACAAGCTAAGTGCCCTCTCAGTTCGATATAATGCATGGCATAGGTAAGGGAGACATTTCTCCTCCATCACCTCAGTGTTTCATTTCTGCTCATATGTTTTATCTATAGTGTCACCTCAACTGTCCTCATGAGCACCAGGGGCCACACAAGCAAGGATCTCATGGCAACGGCAGAGAAGAGCTGTTCAATAACTCAAATCAAGCCACAAGTCCAACTGAACATCAGGGTGACCTCGCTTTTATGGAAGACTGTAGCAACTGGGATATTGTAAAAGCTACCCAGTAAGTACATTGTGAGTGGCACTGTTATCTAGCATATTCACTCGGTTGTCTGAACACAATGTAAGGAGCTGGAGCAGACCATGTGGCCCCTTGAGCCTGCTCAGTCCTTTTAATGGGAACATGTCTAATTCGCTGTCTCATCTGCACTTTTCCCATGTGCTCCCCATCTATCTTGATTGCAAATCTCTTATGCATCCTTTTCCTTTTGAGGACAGAACTTCAACTTTTCTTGTGCATAGTTTTACATGTATTTAATGCAAGTTGGCACTGGATGTGGAGGTTCCTTGTTTACATACTGGATCAGGGTTGGAAATTGGATAAGAAACATGCACTACTGTATCAGGAACCAGTTACAATGAGAATATAACTGAATGGTCTGAGAAACCACTAAATATGTTCAGTGTGAAAGATCCTGACAGTACTGAATCTTTACTGCCCTTGAACTGAGTGGCTTGTTAAGAGGGCTGTTAAGAGTCGACCACATTTGCGTGGGCCTTGGCTCACCTGTGGACCTGACCAAGTAAGGTTCGTGGATTTTTTTCCCTACAGAACAAGCAAGCAAAGTAGGTTGTTACGACAATCAGCAATGTTTATACGGTTGCAATTAGACTAGTTTTTAATTCCAGACTTTTAAAAAAATTTCCAGCTTCACCATTTGCCATGATGAGTTTCGAACCCATGTTCCCAGAATATCAATGATTCTGGATTAATAATTCTAGTGACATTACTACTACATCACAGCCTCCTCCTTAAAAATATCTGTCCCCCTCCACCCCTGGCATTTTCAGAGCTAACTATATTCTGGTATTGGGAAGATTAAGTAGCCGGGGAGACTGGGTGAGTCCTGGCATGATTGACGTTAAGCTGGTCGAGGATGTGGTGAGGGAGTTACCCAGGTTATGGGCAGAGGCTGAGTGTTGTCCAGGGGAAGGAAGATGGTTAGCTGAGGGTCACCTGGGGTGGATGATGAAAAGAAAGTAAGTCTTTCAGTGTGGAGGTGGGTGTTGGAGTTGAAGGTGGCTCGGTGTTCGGGGTGGCGTTGGGGTTTTGGGGATGGAGAAGTTTTGCTGGGTGTGTACAAAAGTATTGTCGAGAGTATGAGCATTGGTCCTGGGTGCCGAATCAGGGTTAATGGCAGGATTCTCGGCAGTGTGGAGGAACAGAGAGATCTTGGGGTCCACATTCATAGATCTCTCAAAGTTGCCACCCAAATTGATAGGGTTGTTAAGAAGGTGTATGGTGTGTTGGTTTTTTGGCAGGGGGATTGAGTTTAAGGGCTGCGAGGTTATGCTGCAGCTCTGTAAAACCCTGTTTAGACCACACTTGGAATATTGTGATATGGTAAGAACTGCCGATGCTGGAGTCAGAGATAACACTGTGTGGAGCTGAAGGAACATAGCAGGCCAGGCACAATCAGAGGAGCAGGAAAGTTGACGTTTCGGGTCGGGACCCTTCTTCAGAAATGGGCTGGATGTAGAGGTTGTTGCGGCCAGGGCCAAATTGGGAATGGCCTGAATGTAGATTGCAGTCCATTGGGGATGATCCGGTTCCATAGGCAGGTACTCAGAAAAGCAATGTGGCTGTAGTACCTGGTTTGCTTCCTTTATTCTTTATTCATTCATGGGATAAGTGTGTTGGTAACCAGGCAGCATTTATTGCCCAGAGGGCAGTTCAGAGTCAACCACGTTGCTGTGGGCCTGGAGTCACATGTAGGCGAGACCAGGTAAGGATGGCAGTTTCCTTCCCTAAAGGACATTAGTGAGCCAGATGGGAATTTCCAACAATTGACAATGGATTCATGGTCATCATTGGATTCTTAATTCTAGATTTTTATTGAATTCAAATTCCACCATCTCCCATTGCGGGATTCGAACCCATGTCGCCAGGACATTATCTGGGTCTCTGGATTAACAGTCCAGCGATAATACCACTAGTCCATCACCTCCCCTATGGTCGGGCAATTTCAGGGCTGAGGGGGTGCAAAGGAGATTTACCAGGATGCTGCCTGGACTGGAGGACGGGTCTTATGAGGAAAGGTTGAGGGAGCTAGGGCTTTTCTCATTGGAGCGAAGAAGGGTGAAAGGTGACTTGTTAGAGGTATACACGTTGATGAGAGGCATAGATACAGTGGATAGCCAGGGACTTTTTCCCAGAACGGAAATGATATTACGAGGGGGCGTAATTTTAAGGTGATTGGAGGAAGGTATAGGGGAGATGTCAGAGGTTGGTTCTTTACGTAGAGAGTGGTGGGTGTGTGGAACGCGCTGCCGGTGGTGGTAGTGGAGTCAGATACAAGGGGACATTTAAGCGACTCTTGGATAGGTGCATGGATGATAGTAAAATGAAGGGTATGCAGGGTGTTTGATCTTAGAGTAGGCTAATAAATCGGCACAACATCGTGGGCCGAAGGGCCTGTACTGTTCTATGAATCGTTTGGCGGTGGTATAATTGGGGGTAGCTGTGTGTGGTACTCAGTGGTCCAGGTGGTGTGAACTTTGTTATGGGGATGAGCATTGTTGGGCAGACGGGAATGAGGTCAGCAGTATCCAGGTTGTTGTGTGAGCTGGATTGCTTTAAGAATGTCACTATAAAAATACATGCTGAAAATTCCCCTTATGTCAACTCAACAAAATTTCACACAATCACCGAGATTGCTGTCAAGTCTGATGCACTAAACCGCAATCTATCTTTCCTGTTTTGCTTCTGAAATGTTGAAATTGTAGAGTGAGCACTTTTGAAACAGGGATGGCAGTTGCATTGGCATTCAGTTGGGTACCTCGTTGGCACCTTCATGTGGCGGTAGTGAAATATTTGGTATGATTTTGTCCTTCTGAATGTATCAGCCTGTGATAACGAGAATCATGGACAGCAACAGTGTTGTGGCATTATATTTTTGATTGTCAGCAAAGTGCAGTCCTTATTGTGGTATTACTGTAGTAGGTACAATTTTCATGGGTATTGTATGAAATACTTTGAAAATATATACATACAGTGTACTGGTTGACCAGTTAATTTATGTCATTAATTGTGGCATTCAGTCACTCAGTTCAGTGTGGAACCAAGCTAGACAGGAGAATTCTGAGATTCAGCACTCCTTGAACCTGCAGGGTACGGACCTCAGGTTTTTGCATCTGAGATGCTTTCTGTGGTATAATACAATCTACACTGACTCTGGAAGGCAGAAAAGTCACTTGCATGTAATTTGATGCATTAACATGAACAATAAATTTCAGCACACTTGTGTGATATCACAAGTCTGATGTATTGTGTTACTCATCTTAGTTTCATAATACTGTGCTTCTTCAGAAAAAATCACTGGCTGGATAGCAGGCTGACAGATGCTGGGCTTCCGTGACGATGATAAACAATATTACAGCAGTACCTACTGAATTATATTTAGTAGCACTAGAAACAAGTTGTCAATTCCTGTATGCCACTGTAGTTGTTTTCCATGTCCTACTGTAATTATTCATTGTTTACAAAATGCATGGCCATGTATTTTACCCCAGGATCAGACGCTCCACCATCAAATGCTTGAAACGCCTTACAGTTGCTTCCTTTGCAATTTGATTCACAGGAAACAATTTCAAGATGCTAATAAATTATCAAGTATCAATTTTAAATGCCATATTTATAAAAAATTTAGAGGTAGTGAAACCTGCCTGTTCCAAACCAAGATAGTTCTTAAGCTCTTGAAGAAGAGTTGTATCAGACTGGAAGCTTAACTCTGTTTCTGTCTCCACAGTTGTGGCCAGATTTGCTGAGTTTCTCAATGCTTTAATTTTTATTTAAGACAGTTCTCAAACTGTTTTGAGATACAAACTTGTAAAGCACATTCTAAAAGCTGCAGGTGCTCGGCATCCTGTTTTCCTTTCATTTCTAAGACCTGCATTCTGTAGCTCTGAGAAGGTAAACATTTTCTCTCAGGATCAGGTTCCTATTGAGATGAGTAGACAATCTTGCCCATTTGTAGATGGATCTGTTGAGAAAAGTGTTACATTTTAAAGCACTGATCTTTCTTTCCTAACCACAAATTCACTTAAGTTGGGGCTTGGAAAGAGAAAGGAACTAGGTGACCCTGTAAATTAGCTTTTTTGTCCTTCACATTTGGCACCCATTTCTAAATTTAGGCAACATTTGCTTCAGTATAAAATTAACAGTGGAACTGCTAGATAATTAATTTCCTGAGTTAACACTAGCTAGCATTCCCCTTGGAGGACTTGGGGACTGGTGGTATCCTGCACCCCCCTCACTCAATTTTTACAACTACCTCCCTGCTCAAACCACTTCTGCAGCCTTCGGTTGTCTTGGTTCCACCTTCTGCAATTCTCTCACTAAATCTCCGACTCTTCTAAGACCCTCCTTAAAATCCAGTTCTCTGTGTAAGCTTTAAGCTACCCATTTTACTATATACTTTAGGCTTGACATCACTTTTCTTCTGATTATACTTTTATGCAGTGGTTTGGGATATTATTATATATTATTGGAGCTGTGCACATAGTACATGCTGCAAACAACCTCTATCGTGGCACCTTGCCAAGATTTGTTTGACCTCCCCATAATTGCTTCCATATAGAAGGACAACGATGGCAGACATATGGAACGCTTTCACCTGCAAGTTCAAGCCACTCACTATTCTAACTTGGCACAACATCACTAGGTCGCTGTGACTGGTTCAAAATCCTGGAATTTCCAGCTGTACAGCCCTGTAGCCATCCTTCCACCACAATTTCTTTCGTTCAAGAAGGTGGATTACCATCCCTTTCTTAAAGACAAGTAGGGATGCACAATAAATAATGACTGTGCCAGCAATGTTCATATCCCATGGGTGGAAAAAATTTCCTGTGTTCTCTTGGCATTCTGATCAATATTCATTCCTCAGTCAGCATCTCAGAAATAGATTTCACTCATAGATGTTTATGCACAAATCAGCTGGTGCACTCCCTGAAATTGAAATAGTGCTTGAACTTCAAAAGTGGAGGTGCAGTTTCAGTACTTGCTAATGATTATGGATAAACTTGCCTTATATTTGGAAGAAAATGGCTCTGTAGCCAAGCTCAGTCCATCTTTGTCTCACTTTCTTTTCTAATAAAGACCATGTTTAACTCTTTCAGATACGGAATAATTGATAGATGTAAAGAGCTAATAGAAGCTGGTTATGATGTCAGACAGCCTGACAAGGAGAATGTGACATTGCTTCACTGGGCAGCCATCAATAACCGAATAGATCTAGTCAAGTAAGTCATGTCAGTTCCCCTTTTGAAGTTTGTTTTTTGCATAATATTTCATTGTACAGTAGTTCAGTACAAGCGTACATGTTCTCATTATAGTAACTTCCCCAAAATACATCCACAGATACTATGTTTCAAAAGGTGCCATTGTGGACCAGCTAGGCGGAGATTTAAATTCAACACCCCTTCATTGGGCGACCAGGTAAAGTTGCAGAAAAGCTCAATTCCTAACAATTTTCATAAATGTGTTGTTATGTAGCTCTTGAGCCATAAGTTCTAATTATTCAAATGAAGGATAGAAAAGTCTGATGCATGAGGTGTTTTGTTTTGAATATGTAAACTGGAACATACCAGTCATTTTTCACTCGTTCATTCCCTAACTCTAGCTAATTTCCAGGATTTGAAAACAACTGTTATACATAATAAACTTTTGACAGTAAACTGCCTTAGCATGGAGGAAATATTATTCAAATAGGTTTTACAACTTAATAGCATTGCAATTAACCTTCAGGTTAATGTTGAAATTTGACAATTCAGCTTGAAACCTTATTAGTCACTGTGTTGTAAGAGATCCGAGCAGGCACCGCAGCTTTTGTTTTGTCTTTAATCTTGGTTCATATTTTATAAGTTTCTTTTTTTAGACTGTTTCTGTAACAGATGAACTAAAATTAACATTAATTAATTTTTGCATTGATTTACTTTTGTAGGCAACTTTATATCCTAAACCACACAACAAAACTTGTCCCTTTTACTTTTAACACAGCTGAAGATGCATATCACAAGAATTATTTAGGTTGTTCCTTAAGCAGTCATTTGATTCCCAGGCCCTAGTCTGTAGTCAACCTTACCACCCAAGGGCTTTCTTTCATTCTTTTCCTCTTGCAGCCTGGCAATTCTTAACTTGGGAACCATCCTTTATGATGAAGGTTTTTCCATGAGTATTTCATCTGGTAAAAGCTGCGCAAATCTTCTGGTCTTGTTTGAAATCCCCATGAATTTGTTTTTCTTTACAATGTGAACACAAGCTCCGTCTACTTTCTCAGAAATATGAGGCCTCCAGTTGCACTGCACCGCACCCCCCCCCCAAAAAAAAACAAAATCAAAATTCCGGTAGACTGTGTGTCTGACAGTTTCAAGGATGCCAGTGAAATTCTAGCCTTCTCAAAGCCTGCTTCCAAAGCAGTGGGAATCATATGAGCATCTAGCATCTTTGAGACTCCAACTTACTTGATCTGCAAGTCAATGATTACCTTAAAGCATAACAGACGCAATCTGACATTCTCAACACCACCTTGCAAGTTTGGAGATTATCATTTTAAACGACTTAAACTCACCTGATTCCCCAACACCATCCACCATCAATAAGGTCCAAGTCAGGAGTGCGATGGGATACTCCGCACTTGCCTGGATGGGTGCAGCTCCAACAACATTCAAGGAGCTTGACACCATCCAGGACAAAGCAACCCAACTTGATTGGCGCCACATCCGCAAACATTCATTCCCTTTGCCACTGATGCTCAGTAGCAGCAGTATACCATTCACAAAATACATTTAAAACAGCACCTTCCAAACCTATTACCACCACCATTGAGAAGGACAAGGGCAGCAGATACATGGAAATACCACCTGCAAGTTCCCCTCCAAGTCACTACTATGCTGACTTAGAAATATATCGCAGTTCCTTCAATGTCACAGGGTCAAAATCCTGGAACTTCCTCCCTAACAGCATTGTGGATCTACCTTCACCAAATGGACTGCTTCTCTTCAGGAAGGCAACTCACTACCATCTTGTCAAGGACAATGTTTGATGGGTGATAAATACTTGCCCAGCTAGTGATGCCCATGTTCCCTGAGTGAATTTAAAAAACAGACATGCCATTCACTTTGTATACATTGGTTCTTTACAGCAACCCCAGTGTCCTTTTAATCATTAACCACCAAGCTCCATAATTATACAAATTTCAGAATGGGTCACATGCCCTTTTTACTCTAAATTACAAACATAATCCCAAAATCTGGCAGTTTATAAACCTTACATTTGTAACAATACTTTTTTCTATGAAAAACTACAATGCTGTTTGGGTGTGGCTTGTGTAACACTGTTGAGCCTTGACAGTTAACCTTTGCATATAATCCTTGCAGCTGTTTTTAGGATAGTGTTTTAAATAATTTTTTTGTTTTACTTTACTTCCCTCTCCCCCACTTCATTAGTAGCAAATGAAAGCATTTACCTGTTCCTTTGTGGAAAAATATTCTTTCCTTCAATTACTGAATGCAATTACTCCAGAATTCAGCTGTTCCGCATAATGTGTTGAGGTCCAGAAAGGTTTGGAAAGGTTGTAGAAATAGAAATAGGACAATCGTGGTTATAGTGGTAGAAGGGAAAGAATTAAGAATTGACCAGATTGAATATGAAAAATTGGAAAATTTATGCGATTTGAAAAGAGATGCATTTAAATACAAAATGCCCAGGAAACCCTCAAATGAGACACATTGATTTATTCCAAATAAGCATAACATACTTTGCAGTTTGCTGGTTGTAAAAATTATGCAGAGATAACATTTCAAACTGTGGCATTGTAAGTATTGCTAATGGGAAGTTTTTAACCAAACAGAGTCCTTTCTATTACATTCCAGGCAAGGTCACTTGTCTATTGTTGTATTACTGATGAAATATGGAGCGGATCCCTCCTTGGTTGACAGGGAAGGATTTACCTGCCTTCACCTTGCAGTTCAATTCCAGCATATGCCTATCGTAGCATACCTTGTGGCAAAAGGTCAGGTATGTCAGATTGTATTGGGGATGAAAGTACTCGCATGGCTGTAATAAAGTGCATTTATTTGAAAATGTTCTGTTGAAGTTGATGCTAAGGAAAAACTGAGGTAACACCTGGTTCGCAGTCTGAATGAAATTTGATCTGTGCACTTCCTCTTTAAGAATCATTGTACTGTAATGTATGTTAACACGTGCATGTCTCTGCTTTAGAAGTCACACCATGCCTATTTCCACACCTGTAGTTTCGTGAAAAGGTTTTAATACAGGTTTATCTTCTCCTTGCCAATCATCAACCATTTAGCAGATGGGGAAAAGTCATTTCCTTCCAGCAATTAACTGTCATATTGAATTTAATACAAACAAAAATTGCTGGAAGAACTCAGCAGGTCCGGCAGCATCTACGGAGAGAGAAACACGATTAGCCCACTATGACTTTTCTTCGGAATTGAAGTGATGTGGAAATATGAAGGGTTTTATGCTGTTGGGGAGTGCCAGGTGGAACAAAAGGGAGGGCCAGGGATATGTATTTAATCTCACCAATGTCAAGAAGACCACATTAGATTAAAAAAATGCAGTTAACTCATTTCTCCACCTGGAAGGAGTGTTAGTACTGAGGAGAGAGGTGTTAAGTGTTTGGTGATGGCATTGTGTTGGAAGTGATGGAAATGGCAGAGGAGGATCCTTTGAATGCGGCACCCGGTGGGGTGGAAAGTGAGGATCAGGGTTACCATATCCTGTTTCTGGAAGGAATGGGAATGGGTGAGGGCCAAAGTGCAGGAAATAGATCAGCCACAGTTAAGGAAAAAGGAAGCCAACAATGATTGAGGGAAAACGCTGTCGGAAAGGCATTTTTGAAAGTAGCACCATCAGAGCAGATAGAATGGAAAAGGCGGGAATGAAATCCTTACAGGAAGCAGGTGAGGCATTCCAGGAGGTAGCATCACCAGAACAGATGCAATGGAAAAAGTTGTAATGGAATCTTTATAGGAAGCAGGTTGTGAAGAAATACAGAGATAGTAAGA